TAAATAGAAAATATTAAAAACAAAATTTACCCCTATAAATAGACCATGAAAAAATATTTTCAAAATATCCACGTCTAAAGACTCAAAAAAAAAAAAATAATTTTAAAAAATCCGCACTATAAAATCATGAAAAATTAGTTTAAAAACCAGTAAGGAAAGTAGTAAAGTCGGACTGGGCCGACTATATGATACCCTTCAACACTTTGGGTATATTCAACAGATGAATCCTAACAGACATCGCACTTTTCAAGGACAGTAAAATGAAATTGAATCAATAAACATGTCATTCTGCAACCTATACTAAATTTTGCTTCTTGCAATGGGATAAAATTATGTAAATAAATTTAAAGCAAAATATCGAAATCTAAATCGATTTCATCGAAACTTGTCACATAATCGGCCACATTTTGAGTTCTTCATTTACTTATAAATTCAAATTTCGTGAAAATCGAAGGATATATAGGGACTTTGGTGCACCATATACATAAAATCGGACGAAAATAGATGTGGGAGCTATATCTAAATCTTAACCGATTTTCACGAAATTTAACACACTTCGCTCTTGACTCAATTCAGTACGCTATGCCAAATTTCGTGGAAATCGAAGGATATATTGGGACTTTGGTGCACTATTTACCTAAAATCGGACGAAAATATATATGGGAGCTATATCTAAATCTGAACCGATTTTCACTAAACTTTACACACATCGTTCTAGACTTAATTCAGTACGATGTGCCAAATTTCGTGCAAATCGAAGGTTATATAGGGGCTTTGGTGCAGCATTTACATAAAATCGGACGAAAATAAGTATGGGAACTATATCTACATCTGAACCGATTTTCTCGAAATTTGGCACACATCGTTCTAGACTTAATTCAGTACGATGTGCCAAATTTCGTGCAAATCGAAAGATATATAGGGACTTTGGGGCACCATTTACATGAAATCGGACGAAACTATATATGGGAGCTATATCTAAATCTGGACCGATTTTTACGAAACTTGGCAGACATCATTCTAGACCTAAATGATTAGGCTGTACCAAATTTCGTGCAAATCGAAAGATATATGGGGACCGTTTACATTAAATCGGTTATATATATATATATATATATATATGGGAGCTATATCTTAATCTGAACCGATTTTTCCCAATTTCAATAGGGTTCGTCCTTGGGCCGAATAAGTGACCTATGCCAAATTTCATCCAATTCGGATCATAAATGCGACCTGTACTTTGTTTACAATTTAACATGGACAGACAGACGGACGGACGGACGGACATGCATAAATCGACTTAAAAAGTGATTCTATGCATATTCTCAAAAGGAACCATGTGTCTATCTCGTTTCCATTTGCCTGTTACAAACATATGCACAAAGACATTAATTTAAATAAAACATAAAAAATCCACGAGTTTTTACAATTTAAGTCCTTTAAAAAAATATTTTTTTTTTAAATCCACTCAGCATAGTTTACCCTTGTTGCATAAAATAAAATTTCAAAATAGCATATTTTTATTTATTAGAAAAAAATATTTGAATAAAATTATTTAATATTATGTACCAATCACACCTTCACACACATATGAATTTAGACGTTTATTTCTATTTGTTGTGTTTTGAAGATCAATTTAATAACAATTTCCTTAGATTTTAATTTTGTTTCCTATAGACATCGATGGAATGAAATATTTTATTAAACACACATAGAAAGGAAAAAATATGTCACGTGGAAAAATATCCAAAAGGAAATGTTAGTTGAGCTGAGCTGAGCTTATCTAAATTCACTTTAGTTTTTTTTTTTTGTTTTATTTGACAACAACAATTCCTAATGCGTAGGAGGACTAAAAGTAATTCCCTTTAATTATTATTTTTAGTTTTTTTTTTTTAAGTAACTGATTTTGTTCTGTATTGGCTGTGGTTGTGTTTTAAGAACTGATTTTTGGCTGAAAGGAAAAATGATTATTTTTTAAGATTTAATTGCAGTTTTTTGTCGATACGAGTTAAAGATTTTTTATTGGTGTTTTTTTTTCGTGAGTGTAAAAACTGAAGCTTATGCTGTGCATATTTTGGCGCTGTGTGTTGAGTAAATACTTTGAGTTTTGAGCGATAGGAAATGCGGAATATTTGAGAAGTTTTGAGGGAGAATAGTTTTTGAGGAGACAATTTTTTAGGTGGTAGATTGTTCATGCTCTGGCAAAAATGGTGTTCAAAATTACAGACATCCAGGTTGGAAAACTGTGGTAGGAAAATTCAGTGGGATATTGAATAATTTCTGGAAATAATTTTTTTATTAACCAGTAATCCGATATGCCAAATTATAGACATTTTTATTAGTAAATCCTTTTATTCGGTAGCTTTTTATGGGTATATATCAAAGCTTGTTCCTATGGAGATAATTTTCCTCCAAAATGTGCTTTACCCTCCACTAGCCCGTAAAGAAAAATTACAGCCACTTCGATGTGAAAATTCTTTTAAAACCTTAAAAATACTGACAATTGGGCGCCACCCTTATATGGGGGCTATGTCAAAACATGGACCTACATTCCAAAATCTCTGTATATGTGTATTTTAGCCTTCAAGAACCCTCTATACCAATTTACATCCACATAGGTGAAAAATGCGGCTAAAACCTTCCAAAATATAGAGAATGGGTCGGAACCTTTATATGGGAGCTATACCAAAACGTCAACCGATATTTATGATTTTTGGTAGGATGATTTGACAGTCCATGAGAACCTGAAAAATCTAATTAGAATCAGTTCAGTTGGAAAACGTGACCAAGCTCCCGAAAATACTGAATATTTTAGGGTACCCTTAAATGGCAGCTACCCGAAAACTTGGACCAAATTTTATAATTTTTCGTAGGTAGATTATCTGCTCAATGAGAACCCAAAGTACCAAGTTACAGCCAATTTGGCTAAAAAACCTGACCAAGCTGCTCAAAATATCGAAATTTGGGAGGAGCTACCTGAGGGGCTACCCTGAAATTTGGTGTAAAATTGATAATTTTTGGTAGGAAGTTTTGAAACCCCATGAGTATCTGAAAAACCAAATTAGAGACAATTCGGTTAAAAAACATGTCCACAACAACCAAATTACCGAAATTTAAGGGTTACCGCTCAAAGGGGTCTACCCAGAGAAGTGAACCAATATTGATAATTTTTGATAGGGAGAATCACTGCCTAGTGAGAATCCAAAATATCAAATTACAGTCAATTCGGTTGAAAAACGAGCCCAAGCTCCCTAAAATATCGAAATTTGAGAGGCATCGTTATATGGGGGCAACCTCGAAACTTAGGTCAATATTGGTAATTTTTGGTGGGAAGTCTTATTACCCAATGAGAACCCATAATACCAAATTACAGCCAATTTGATTGATAAACGTGCTAACAATACCTAAAATACCGAATATTCGAGGGTACCCCTTAATGGGGACTACCCTAAAAAATTGACCAATATTAATCATTTTTAGTAGGGAGATTCACTACCAAGTGAGAACCCAAAATATCAAATTACAGCCAATTAGGTTGAAAAACCTGCTCAAGCTCCCTAAAATATCGAAAGTTGAGAGGTATAGCTATATGGGGGCAACCTCGAAGCATTGGCCAATACTGATCATTTTTGGTGGGAAGTTTCATTTCCCAATGAGAATCCAAAATACCAAATTACAGTCATTTTGGTTGATAAATGCTGCCTAAAGTCACTAAAACATCGGAAATTGGTTGGTACCGCTCAATGGGGAATAGCCTAAAAATGGATCAATATGCATAATTTTTGGTAGGACAAATTAAGACCTTGTGGGAACCCAAAATACTAAATTACAGCCAATTTAATTGATAAACATGCCCACAATCCCCAAAATACCGAATATTCGAGGGTACCCCTTAATGGGGACTACCCTAAAAAATTTACCAATATCAATAATTTTTCTGTAGGAAGATTTGAGACCCTATGAGAACCCAAAATACCAAATTACAGCTGACTAAGGTAAAAAACGTATCCAAGCTCCCCCAAATACCGAATATTGGGGGTACCCTTGTATGGGGGCTACCCTGAAACATTGGCCAATACAGATTATTTTTGGTAGGGAGATTTTCTACCCTATGAGAATCCAAAATACCAAATTACCGTCAATTCGGTGGAAAAATGTGCCCAAAATACCAAAAATTGGCGGGTTCCGCTCAAAATGGGCTGCCCTAGAAAATTGACCAATTTTTGATAATTGTTCGTAGGAAGAATTTGTACTCAGTGAGAACCCTAAATACTAAATTACAGCCAATTCGATTGAAAAACGTGGCCACAACCCGTAATACTCCGAATATTTTTAAGGTACCGCTCAATGGGGCCTACCTGAAAACTTCGGCCAGTATCGATTATTTTTGGTAGGAAGATTTAAGGCCCTATAAGAACCCAAAATACTAACTTACAGCCAATTTGGTTAAAAAACGTGCCGACAACCCCCAAAACACTGAATATTGAGGGTACCGCTAAATGGGTCCTATCCTATAAAGTGTACCGATATATCTCATATTCAATACCAAACATCTTAAGAATAATATCAACATATGTGCAAAATTTCAAAACTCTATCTTCAATATTGCCAACACTATTGTGATTTCAATAGACGGACGGCCGGTCCTCATCAAATCGACATAGAATTTTATTCCGATCAGGGATTTCCATGAATACTTTGAAGGTCTCCGGTGAACATTTCGAGGTCTTGCAAACAGAATGACAAATTCGATATACACCATACCCTATGGTGGAGGGTCCACCAATCTTATATTAAAAAAATCTCCTTCAGGACCCCCCTTCAAAACTTCTCAAAAATTCCCTTCCCTTTTTGGTTTGGCTTGAAGAAAAAACTTCTATTCTACAGTTTCATTTTCTTTCCCTCCCTCTCCTTCTCCCCTTCCCACCAATCTCCACTTAATACCAAAAATCAAATCACAGATCCAAGGAATCTGGTGGTGTTGGCTTTGTCGGCAATACCCCAAACGGATCATCGACAATGTGATGATGAGCCCGCTCAATGGCAAAACTTTCCTCATCCTCTTCGTCCTCGCCCACGTCATCATCATCATCTTCCAGACCCACCGGATCTTTGGTATCACCATGAAAAATATATTCCTCCACATCGGTGTCATAGCAGGTATCCAAATCGACTTCGTGTAAATTTAGATCCATTTCCAAGAGATCCCAAGAGCCGCCAAATTGGGCCAAGGGGATATTGGAATCCAGAGATTTCTTGGCATCATTTGTGGCGGAGTTGCTGGTGGTTACAAAATCATTAGAAAAGGTATCCGGTTCACGGATGGGACTCAAATTAGCTGTGGGTGTATCGGGAGTGGTAAGGGAATTTAGTATGGAATTTTCCCCCGGCGGTGCGAAATCATTTTCATCGATAAAGGATCTACCCACCGAGCTGAGAGAGAATTCGAGAAGTTTGGAGGATTTCGCAATGATTTCTTTGTTATTTGCGGAAGAGGGGCCTGAGGAGGCGGAGGTGGGATCATGGGCTTGAGAACTTTCATTATCAAGTTGATGCGGGACATTGCCATTGGTGCCCGTTCGTACATTTACCAAAGAAGCTGTGGTCACACAACAACGCCCCTCTCCATCGATGAGGAGGTAACGCTCTTCACCACCATTACCGCAGTTCTGTTTCAAAACAATGGCCTTACAATTGCCATCGGATATTTGATAGTCATTCCCCGTTTCGGTGGCTGCCTCCGGTATGGCTGTGAGGCATTTACAACCCATCAGGTGGTCTCCCGAACATATTGTCTGGGTATTGAGGCTACTGCCCGAGCAGGTTAGGAGGGGAGAGGAATTATTATTGCTATTGTTGTTATAGGCTCTACATGCCGACAACGGACGACCACTGTCCAGGGCCTGAGCCAACAAATGTTTCCTACCCATGGCCAAAGATCGCAGCGATGTGGCACTATCACCAGGCGGACCTAAGGCCCCACCCAGCGATCGCCGATATGTGGCCGGTGAATTAGTCTGCGATGAGCAGGAAACAGAGTGCGGATGATGATTATTGCTGGTCTGTGTCATACGTGTGCTACTGCGTGATGAGGCTACTAAGGTGCTGGCCAGACGTTGTAGATTCTCAAAAGAACCACCAGCGCCAGTGGCGCTATCACCCGAACCCGTTAGGGCCTGTGAGCGCATTAAACGAACCTGTTGATTATGCTGTTGATTTTTCAGATTTATGCTGTCCATCGAGGAGAGTTTAATGGAACCAATTGAGGCGGAGGCGAGGCCTATGTCACTCAACGGTACTAAAGTATTGAGTACGTCTGGAGAATCCAAGGGGCTGGAGAGGGGTGTGGAACCCAAGGCGGCATTGACTAGGAATCTGTAAATGGGGGAAAAAATATTTTTTTTAGAAAAATTTGGGAGGTTGATTGAAGGGTGGTACTCACATTTGCCTTTGTAAAAGATTTTGCCACACAGCCTTTAATTCCAACGAGGGAGCCCTTAACACCAAACTTTTGCGTCTGGCTCCCTTTTTGGGGGTTTTAGTGAGATCTGGGGCACAATAACCGGTGGGACTTTCAGCTAAACGTCCATTAGGGTCAACAGTTAAACGGAATTCGGTAGCTGGAAAAAGATAAAACCAATTTTTATTATCAACGCCTAAAAGTATGCTTCGGAAATATTTCTTAAATATTCTACGCTAAAAATAGGCTTCAAAAATATTCGCTAAATATTCGATATTGTGTGAGAGGAAGAGAGTGAGGGAGAGCGTGAACTTACTCTTTTTTCTCATATGAAAACATGAATCCACAATATTCGCAATGGGTATCGGCTCCTCGGTAATGAATAACACTCGATCACGACTGACTTTGGCAAACACTATAATATCACTAAACAGCAGCGTCCAATAGGGTTTCACCGAACGACCCTCCACCCTCGATAAATCACCACCAAATATCCATTGACGACCCTGTACGGCCAAGGTGAAAGGTTTACATTTTGTAAAGACCATACGTGATTCCAAGTCCTGCAACGTTAGCAGCGGTCGTCCTTCACCCAACGGTTCCATAAGGCCAGAGGATACTGTAATTTCACGATAAGCTGCCTGCAGCTCATTAATGACAGTATTAAAGTTTTTATGTTCCTCAGTGTCGACATGGCAATTAGAGGCCAGAAGCTGCATCAGCTTCAGAATTTCACGAAAATGCTGCAGCGGCCGATGTATGAACATGGTGAGATCGGGACGTTTGCGAGGCACTGGCGGTTCGGTAATAAAGGCGACAAATTCGGAGCCAGCTTGGCGGGATTTGTTGACCTGCAAAAGAAAATAATTTATTTTTTGTCCAAAGATATTCCCTAACCCTCCCCGCTACTTACCAGCACACAATCGGCCCGCTTAATACCATTACAGTATTTCTTATAGGCCGCACAAATGGCCGTTGTCTTGGAGAGGTATACCCTTGAGGCAAAATTCATTTGTGGCTCTTGATCGTCATGACACAGTTGTTCTAAGATATCTTCTGAGATCCTCAGTAGTTCATCCATGTTTTGAAACAAAGTTCGATGATCATTCGGGGTGATAAGGTCTTTACGTTCCGCCAGCGGTTGTACAAAACGTTGCATGCCAAAATGCAGGGCAGACATGAAGTTTTGTTCACGCGATATCAGTTGCAGGAGAAAACGTCGACGATTATCCGTAATGGGGGCGATGCTCTAGAGAGAAGAAGAAGAAAAAAATAAGTATTTTTATAAAAACAAAAACAAAAAATTGTAAAAATCCACGCCTATGATGGGCCCTGAAAAATATTTAAACCAGTAAGGAAAATAGTAAAGTCGGACTGGGCCGACTATATGATCTGGCCCGATTTTCTCGAAACTTAACACACATCATTCTAGACCTAATTTATTACGTTGTGCCAAATTTCGTGCAAATCGCAAGATATATAGGAACTTTGGTGCCCCATTTACTTTAAATCGGACGAACATATACATGGGAGCTATATATAAATCAGAACCGAGTTTCTCGAAACTTTGCACACATGATTCTGGACCTAATTCTGTACTCTATGCCAAATTTCGTGCAAATCGAAAGATATATAGGGACTTTGGTGCCCCATTAACTTTAAATCTGACGAAAATACATATGAGAGCTATATATAAATCTGAAATCTGAATTTTCACGAAACTTAGCACACATCACTCCGGACCCAATTTACTAACCTATGTCAAATTTCGTGCAAATCGAAAGATATATAGGGACTTTGGAGCCCCATTTACCTTAGATCGGACCGAAATATATATGGGAGCTATATATAAATCTGAGCCGATTTTCTCGAAACTTGGTACACGTCATTCTGGACCTAATTCAATGCCCTGTGCCAAATAACGTGCAAATCGAAAGATATATAATGACTTTGGTGCACCATTTACATAAAATCGGACAAATCTATATATTGGAGCTATATCTAAATCTGACCCGATTTTCTTGAAACTAGCACACATCATTCTGGACTTAATCCTGTACCCTATGCAAAATTTCGTTCAAATCGAAAGATATATAGGAACTTTGGCGGACCATTTACCTTAAATCGGACGAAAATATATATGGGAGCTATATCTAAATCTGAACCGATTTTTACGAAACTTGGCACACGTCATTCTACACTCAATTCAGTAGACTATGCAAAATTTCGTGCAAATCGAAAGATATATAGGGACTTTAATGCCCCATTTACCTTAAATCGGACGAAACTATATATGGGAGCTATATCTAAATCTGACCCGATTTTCTCGAAACTTAGCACACATCATTCTGGTCCTAATTGAATACTCTATGCCAAATTTCGTGCAAATCGAAAGATATATAGGGGATTTGGTGCCCCATTTAACTTAAATCGGACGAAACTATATAAGGGGGCTCTATCTAAATCTGAACCGATTTTTCCCAATTTCAATACGGTTCGTCCTTGTGGCAAATAAGTGACCTATGCCAAATCGGATCAAAAAGGCGACCTGTACCTTGTTTACAATTTAACATATACAGATGGACATACGGACGGACTGACGGACATGCATAAATCGACTCAGAAAGTGATTCTATGCATATTCTCAAAAGGAACCATGTGTCTATCTGGTTTACTTTTGCCTGTTACAAACATATGCACAAAGACATATTACCCTGTACCACATTGTGGCAACGGGTATAAAAATCCAAGCTTTGTAGAGACCCTTGAAAAAATATTTTTAAACCAGTGAACGGAGCAGTATATTCGGACGAGGCCGACCATATGATACCCTTTACAACTTCCTTGAAAAGCAAACTTTCTGCGGTTCTATATTCTCAGCCTGGGCAATATTTCGCGATATTTGCACCCTTTTTAACCGATTTTTAACTCCATTTTCGTACCTTGGCATATTCTCTAATTTTTTTTTTCGTGAAACGAATTTTTACGCCATAAAATAAAAAATTGGTCACTTTAGGTTTTGGTTTATGTGACCCTCAGAAAATTGACCGATCAGCATCTAATTGTCTCTAAAGCGATTATAAAATCTGACAGAATTGAAGTTTTCGGTTCATTGCACTCCTTGAATGAGATCTCAAAATCACCGAAAACTATGGGCATCATCCTTGACCATAATCGGAACTTCATGTACAATTTCTAAGCGATCAGCGGGACTTTTCACACATAGTCACCTTTGCCTAATTACGTATAACTCCCACATCAGTGTACATACTGACATATAATTGGTATCAATTTGAAGGTCATAAGCTCCTCTTGGATATACTATCAACTTATTGGGTATATGTCCTTCAGGAGCAAGTAAATACGCCCCAGAATATTTTGTACTTTTTCACACAAAAGTCAGGGTCCATTTGACCCGCTAAATAGTGACCAAACTTATTAAAACAAGCATGCTTATTTCTTTTGCCGATCTCCTTCTCCGTGTAAAAATCGTAATGTTTGGACCAAAATTGTGGCCTCTGGAGTGACCAGAAAAACGGACAAAAATTAAGTATTTGGTCCATTTCATCTCCTAAATATTAGTCGATCTTTACAAAAAACAAAAGGGGTCTTCATTGGGCCAAACCCATCCTACACATACATCGAAGATTGGTCCATAACTGTGGCCTATATCGTGTTTACAAATTATAATGGACAGACGGACGGACGGATATACATGTCTAGATCGACTCAGCTAGTCGAGATATGACAATCGGTATACTTAAAGGTGGGTCTAGGACCAATATTTCGCGGCATTACAAACTTTTGGGGCACAAAGCTATAATACCCTGACTACATAGTTGTGTAGGGTATAAAAATCCATGTCCTTTTTATAGCCCTTAAAAGTATTTTTTTTTAATCCACGCTTAATGTTAGGCCATTGTTATGCCTCAAAAAAATATTTTTATAAGAAACTTAAATTAAAAAAAAATAAAAACAAATAAAACCAGTAAGGAAAGTAGTAAAGTCGGACGGGGCCGACTATATGATACCCTTCACCACTATGGGTATATTAAACAGGACTATTAACATGTAATTGGATGAAAAAAAGTAATATTTATCTAAATGTGAATCTACCTAGATCTATCCATAAAGTATGTTAATCGACTTCAAACAAATATAAATAAGTCCGTTGGGCTATGTCTGTACTTCTAGAAAACGCAACTACGTAATTGTATGCTCAATTTTGTGCGTTGTGCACAATTTGATGTCAATCTGACTAACATGAGGAGTCTGATGCCCAATTTACTTGAAATCGGTCGAAAATATATATGGAAGCTCTATCCAAATATTAAGCGATTTCAAACAAACTTGTCACAGGTTAGGTTATACTAATTTCAGAACGTTTTGTTTCTATTGGTTCCTTAGTACGTCAATTACTTAAAATCAATCTATAATAAAAGGGAGCTATATCTAAATCTGGACCGATTTTCACGAAACTTAGCATCATTTTAGGCTCAATTCAGTACGTTATGACAAATTTCGTGCAAATCGAAAGTTATATAGGGACTTTGGGGCACCATTTACATGAAATCGTACGAAACTATATGTGGGAGCTATATCTAAATCTGGGCCGATTTTCTCGAAACTTGGTAGACATCATTCTAGGCTCAATTCAGTGCGTTATGCCAAATTTCGTGCAAATCGAAAGTTATATAGGGACTTTGAGGCACCATTTACATGAAATCGGACGAAACTATATATGGGAGCTATATCTAAATCTGGACCGATTTTCTCCAAACTTGGCAGACATCACTCTAGGCTTAATTCAGTACGTTATGCCAAATTTCGTGCAAATCAAAATATATATAGGGACTTTGGGGCACCATTTACATGAAATCGTACGAAACTATATATGGGAGCTATATCTAAATCTGGACCGATTTTCTCGAAACTTGGTAGACATCATTCCAGGCTCAATTCAGTACGTTATGCCAAATTTCGTGCAAATCGAAAGTTATATAGGGACTTTGAGGCACCATTTACATGAAATCGGACGAAACTATATATGGGAGCTATATCTAAATTTGGACCGATTTTCTCCAAACTTGGCAGACATCACTCTAGGCTTAATTCAGTACGTTATGCCAAATTTCGTGCAAATCGAAAGTTATATAGGGACTTTGAGGCACCATTTACATGAAATCGGACGAAACTATATATGGGAGCTATATCTAAATCTGGACCGATTTTCTCCAAACTTGGCAGACATCACTCTAGGCTTGATTCAGTACGTTATGCCAAATTTCGTGCAAATCAAAAGATATATACGGACTTTGGGGCACCATTTACATGAAATCGTACGAAACTATATATGGGAGCTAAATCTAAATCTGGACCGATTTTCTCCAAACTTGTTAGACATCATTCTAAGCTCAATTCAGTACGTTATGCCAAATTTCGCGCAAATCGAAAGGTATATAGGGACTTTGGGGCACCTTTTACATGAAATCGGACGAAACTATATATGGGAGCTATATCTAAATCTGGACCGATTTTCTCCAAACTTGGCAGACATCACTCTAGGCTTAATTCAGTACGTTATACCAAATTTCGTGCAAATCAAAAGATATATAGGAACTTTGGGGCACCATATACATGAAATCGGACGAAACTATATATGGGAGCTATATCTAAATCTGGACCGATTTTCACGAAACTTGGCAGACATCATTCTAGACCTAAATGATTAAGCTGTACCAAATTTCGTGCAAATCGAAAGATATATAGGGGCCGTTTACATTAAATCGGTTAAATATATATATGGGAGCTATATCTAAATCTGAACCGATTTTTCCCAATTTCAATAGGGTTCGTCCTTGGGCCAAATAAGTGACCTATACCAAATTTCATTCAATTCGGATCATAAATGCGACCTGTACTTTGTTTACAATTTAACATGGACAGACAGACAGACGGACAGACGGACGGACGGACGGACATGCATAAATCGACTTAGAAAGTGATTCTATGCATATTCTCAAAAGGAACCATGTGTCTATCTCGTTTCCTTTTGCCTGTTACAAACATATGCACAAAGACATAATACCCTGTACCACAGTGTGGTGAAGGGTATAAAAACACAAACAAAAGTATTTAGAAAAATTAAATAAGTTTTTATTGACTTAAGAAATTTACAAAACAAGAAGAAAAACATATAAATAATAAAGTAGCGGTAATAATAAAAAAGCTTTAAAACAAAAAATTATAATAAAAAATAAAAATGCAAATAAATTCGTTTTTTTACATTTATATATATATATATATATATATATACATATATATTAAAAATCAATAGAAACTATAAGAAATATGTTTTTCAGTAACAAAGTAAATAGTTAAATAAAAAAATAGATATAAAATAAAAATTAATAACACTCATACGCCACAATGTGCTGTAAATTAATATTAATCATGCGCAACTACGTTCTTCCATAAAGATTTCTTCTTGCTTTTTTGTAAAAACGGTCAAATTCTATCCTTTTGTATCCTCATATATAAGTTATCTTAAAGGAAAAAATGTTCACCATTAAATTCTACTATAAGTCATCGAGCAAAAGAAATTGCTATATAGAAGCAGGACGACTCAATGCGAGCAAAAAGTATCGTTTATTTGGATAGTTCTTATTACTTTCGATGTATTGTCAACAACGCCATCTATACTTCATTTTAGGGAAAAAATATCAAAGGATAAATTATTCCTTATTAAATTTCAATATTAGTTTCTCTGCAATAAAAATCGTTTTATAAAATATTTATCGGAGAAATATCGCTTAGAAAATGCGAAATAAGTATATTTTACTTTCTAAAGTATATTTCGAACGGGGGCAATTTCTCACTTTTCACTTCATTTTAGGTGAGATATCTTAAAGAAAAATATGTTCCTTATCAAATTCTATTATAGGTCTCCGAAAAAAAGGAAATCGGTATATATTATATTTATAGGAGAAAAGGACAACTGAAAATAATGATAATATGCATTTTATTATTTCCGATTTTTTTCTTATGTTTTTCGAATCGGGGCCAATTTCTTCCCTTAAACTTCATTGTAGGTGAGCTATCTCAAAGAAAAACATATTCCTTATCAAATTCTATTATAGGTCTCCGAAGAAATGAAGTCGGTATATATTATATTTATAGGAGAAAAGGACAGCTGAAAATAACTTAAATAATACGTATTTTATTACTTCCGATTTTTTCTTACGTTTTTCGAATCGGGGCCAATTTCTCCCCTTAAACTTCATTGTAGATAAATTACTTCAAATGCACAAATGTTCCTTGTAAAATTCTACTATAGATGTCCGAACAAAATAAATCTGTATATTTAATATTTATGGGATAAAATGGCGACAGAAGAAAACTACAATATATAATTTAATTACTAACGTTTTTTTCGTACTTCGTTCTAATCTGGACCAATTTCTCCCCTTTTACATAATTTTAGGTAAATTCTCTTAGAGGCAAATATGTTCCTCGTCAAATTCTACTATAGGTCTCCGAACAAATGAAATCGGTTTGTATTATATTTATAGGAGAAAACGACAATTGAGTAACGTAACAAATTGTTTTAAATTAAAAATGATTTGTTCGTACTTTTCTTCAAAAAGGACCTGATTTCTCCCGTTTTAAATCATTTTAGATGAATTCTCCAGGAGACAAAAATATTCCTCATTAAATTCTACTATGGGTCCCCGAACAAAAGATATCTGTAAAATCCTTATGCATCCCTAAAATGCCCCAGCAAATAGTTGTCCTAAATATGGAATTTAAATTGGATAGTTTTTGATTTCAATTTAATCAATATTAAATTATTTTTAAGTAAAAACTAATTCATATTGTTTGTTATTTTCATATTAATAACAATCATACGCCTCTATGGTCTACAAAAAACTATTTTTATTACATATACGTTCCGGTGTACCCTGAAATGTATATAAATTATACGCCACCCATAACAATAGTTATTTGTGGGGGTCTTTAACAAATGAAATGGGTTTTTAAATGCAAATAAATATTTTCTTAAATAAAAATCATGAGTTCCCGGTCCACTCGAGACTATGTACAGATATTGTAGCGTATGAGTTTCTGAAATAATGAATAATTAATTAATAATAAATAAAAAAATACATTTAATAAATAGACTATTCAAAGAAAAAATCTTGTGGCAGATTTTTTTTAATTACAACAACTATAATTTTAAAAATAATTAAGGCAAATTTGGCATTAATTAGTAGTATAAAAAACTTATAATACTAGCAAGAAAAAATAACACACAAAAATTTAACAAAAATTTAAAAATAATGTTTTAGCAATATTTGTAATAAATTTAAAAATAAATTTGAAAAATAAACATAAAATTAAATTTTTTTAAATTATTATATTTTTAATATTTTGTAATTAATTAAATTATTATTTAAAAAAATATGTTTAAAATTAAAAATTATTTTTAATTAATTAAAATTGTTTTAAATTAATTAAAATTTGTTTAAAATTATTTCAATTATTTTTATTTTTAACAAAAAAATTTAAATTAATTTTATATTAATTTAAATTATTTTAAATTAATCAACATAAGTTTAAAATAATTTTTAATAATTCAAATATTTTAAATATTTTAATTAATTTAATATAAACTAGTTATAATTTTTTAATTCATTTTTATTAATTAATTTTTATTGATTAATTTTCATTGATTAATTTTTATTAATTACTTTTTATTAATTAATTTTTATAAATTACTTTTTATTAATTAATTTTTATTGAAAATTTTTTATTAATTAATTTTTATTTATTAAATTTTATTAAATAATTTTTATTAATTAATTGTTATTAAATAATTTTTATTAATTAATTGTTAATAATTAATTTTTATTAATTAATTTTTTTTGATTAATTTTTATTAATTAATTTTTTTAATTAATTTTTATTAATTAATTTTTATTAATTAATTTTTATTAATTAATTTTTATTAATTAATTTTTATTAATTAATTTTTATTAATTAATTTTTACTAATTAATTTTTATTAATTAATTTTTATTAATTAGTTTTTATTAATTAATTTTTATCAATAAATTTTTATTATTTAATTTTTATTATTTAATTTTTATTAATTAATTTTTATTATTTATTTTTTATTAATTTTAAAATTAATAAAAATTAATTATTTTTTTATTGATTATTTTTTATTGATTATTTTTTATTTATTAATTTTTATTAATTAATTTCTATTAATTAATTTTTATTGATTAATTTTCATTGATTAATTTTTATTAATGAATTTTTATTAATTAATTTTTATTAATTAATTTTTAATAATTAATTTTTATTGTTAAATTTTTTGAAAAAAAAATTATTAATTAATTTTTATTGATTAATTTTTATTATTTAATTTTAATTAATTACTTTTTATTAATTAATTTTTATTGATTAATTTTCATTGATTAATTTTTATTAATTACTTTTTATTGATTAACTTTTATTAATTAATTTTTATAGATTAATTTTCATTGATTATTTTTTATTAATTAATTTTTATTAATTTATTTTTTTTTAATTAATTTTTATTAATTAATTTTTATTAATTAATTTTTTATTAATTAATTTTTATTAATTAATTTTTATTAACTAATTTTTATTAATTAGTTTTTATTAATTACTTTTTATTGTTCAATTTTTATTGATAATTTTTTATTAATTAATTTTTATTAATTAATTTTTATTAAATAATTTTTATTGATTAATTTTCATTGATTAATTTTTATTAATTACTTTTTATTAATTAATTTTTAATAGTTAATTTTTATTGTTCAATTTTTATTGAAACATTTTTATTAATTAATTTTTATTGATTAATTTTTATTAATTAATTTTTATTGAAACATTTTTATTAATTAATTTTTATTGATTAATTTTTATTGATTAATTTTTATTAATAAATTTTTATTGTTCAATATTTATTGAACAATTTTCATTAATTAATTATTAATTAATTTTTATTAATTAATTTTTAATAATTAGTTTTTATTAATTAATTTTTATTACCTAATTTTTATTATTATAAATTCTATAAAATTAAAAAAAAATATATATATATATATATATATATATTAAATTATTAAAAAATCATAATTAATTATTTTTTAATTCAATTAAATTAAAATTTCTTCCAACATTATCTTAATTTTTCCCTCCCTCACACAATAACACCCTTGCCTACCTCTTTACTAAACGTAACCTGAGGTAAATTTAAACGTCGCTTCGCCGCCTCTACCGATGACATTGTGGTGCCCATCGAACATGCTGTCGGTGGTCGTTGTTGTTTTGCCGCCTCATCGTTTAAATCACGATTTATGCTCGTACCACTACTCGCTGCCATCCTTGAGGTTTTACCATTCATTGGCACTGTCGTGGCCAGAGAACGATGTGTTGTCGCCGTGGCCGCTGTAATCGTTGTTGTAGTGTGACTGCTACCAGTAGCTGCACCCGTAGCTCCCGTACCAGAACCTGATCTTCTAAAAATCTCCAATGTGAGCGTTGCACCTTGTGAACGTATTAGATTTAGAACATCAGCCTCCGGCATAGTCACCACATTGTGTTTGTCGACAAAGATGACATAGTCACCGGGCAGAATGCCACAACGATCGGCTGAGAGGCCCGGTTCCACTTTCTCCACACGTGGCGGATGTGTCCAGACAATGGAAAAGCCAAAACCACGCTCAGCGGTACGCGTTAATTTTTTTGTCATCGTAAAGGGGGTACGGCCAATTGGTTTGGAATTTGAGAGGCGTCGTCCGCCGCCGCCACCACCCGGTGTTGTGGGCATCATGGCATCACTGCTGTTGGGCGGATCCAATTCGAGAAAACGTAAAAATAAATTTTCATCAGCATCACGCTGATGTAAGGCTTTTTTACTCAATATCATTGGTGTCTGTTGGTAATGGTCCAGCAGGGCACCCGACGATGCTACTGGTGCAGCCATACTATCAATACTAACAGCATCGTCAGTGTTACGCATTTGGGTCATGGCTGCCATGGCCAATTTGTTGTTGTTGCTGTTGTCGTTGTTGGTGTTGTGATATAGTGCTGTTGAGGATGCTTGTGCTTGTACGACTCCTGTTGCTCCTTGTGACGACAATGTTTTTGCTTGTTGTACACCAATTATAGTGGTGCTGGTTGTTGGTGTTATTGTTGTTGTTGCTGTTGTGCCACAATGACGTCCAATGCAATGCTGATTTATTGCTGTCTGATGTACCAGCAACTCGTCTATGACTGGCTGTGGATGTGGTTGATTCAAACAGGTCTGGGCCTGTAATTTATAGGAGCCATTGATTTCACGTTGCTGCAACAAAGTTGCCAATGGAAATGAGACACAACCTAAGAATTCACTGCGTCTGTAAATGAAAAGAAAAATAATGGAATTAATGGAAATTTGTTATGAACTTTTCCTGGGATTTATAAATGGAATTAAAAAATAAATTAAAAAATCTGGGTTAAATTAAAAATGGAATTTTTATTACACAAATCCGCAAAGGGATTTGAAAAATAATGGAAGTTTTTCGTAACCAAATTTTTCATATTTAAAATTTGAGATTAAGTAAGTGTAAAAAAGTCTTTCGTTTCCTGAAAAGAGTAGACAAGCCTTGTGTAGGTTATTGCAATCATACGTCAACATTTATTTAACATATTGCCAAAAGATTTGTTTAAAAAATTTCAAGAAAAATATAGAAATATGGCCTGTAAGTATCTTGACAATGCCGTAGAATTCCTGTATTTTATAATTTATAACACTTATACGCCATAATATACCCTCAAATAATATAAATTATACGCCACATAGTCTCAAGGAATAAAATATTCCATATAAGCTCTATAGCACTGTCTAAGGATGTATTAATGACATAAGTATTATGGAAAAAATACTAAAAAGTCCCTCGATGTCCGGAGTACACAAAAACTGCCCATAGCCAATAAAAATCATACGCTCTATGGTCATAAAAATTAATATAAATCATACGCAAAATAAAATTTTCCTTTCGAGTTCAAAATGGCTTTCTAAGTACTTATTAATGACATAAATATTTCGCAAAAAATATCAGAAAGTCCTACAACTTCCAAATTACACAAAAGCTATCCACAATTAATAAATATCATACGCCCTATGGCCACAAAAAAATAATATTAATCATACGCAAAATAAATTTTTTGGAAAGCATAAAAATTAATAGAAAATTGAAAAATTCAAAACTTTACCTCAGTGCTCATACTACAAAACGGATACCAAAAATCAATATAAATCATACGCCCTATGGTCACAAAAATTAATATTAATCATACGCAAAATAAAATTTTCCGGTAAAACTAAATATCGACTTCTCAAGATGTAATTAATGCAAGAAAATTTTGAAAAAAATCTACAATGAACCTCAGTGCTCATATTACAACATGGCGACCCAAAATCAATATAAATCATACGCCATATGGCTACAAAAATTAATATTACTCATACGCAAAATAACATTTTCCAGGAAATCTAAATATCGACTTCTTAAGATGTAATTATGGCAAGAAACTTTTGAAAAAATTCTAAAATAAACCTCAGTGCTCATATTACAAAATGGCTACCCAAAATCAATATAAATCATACGCCCTATGTTCATAAAAAATTTATATTAATCATACGCAAAATAAAATTTTCCGGGAAAGCTAAATCTTCTCAAGATGTAATTATGGCAAGAAAATTTTGAAAACATTCTAAAATGTACATCAGTGCTCATATTACAAACTGCGTACCCAAAATCAATATAAATCATACGCCCTATGGCCACAAAAAATAATATAAATCATACGCAAAATAAAAATTTCCTTGCGAGTTCAATATGGCTTTCTAAGTACTTATTAATGTCATAAATATTTCGCAAAAAATATCAGAAAGTCCTACAACATCTAAATTATACAAAAGCTATCCACAAATAATTATCATACGTCCTATGGCCATAAAAATTAATATTAATCATACGCAAAATAAAATTATCCGGGAAAGCCAAATATCGACTTCTTAAGATGTAATTATGGCAAGAAAATTTTGAAAAAAATCTACAATGAACCTCAGTGCTCATATTACAACATGGCGACCCAAAATCAATATAAATCATTTGCCTTATGGTTACAAAAATTAAAATTAATCATACGCAACAAAAATTTTCCCCGAAAGCTAACAATCGCTTTTCATACACGTAATAACGGCATAATTATTTCGAAAAAATATCCGAAAGCTCCCCAACATCCCAAATACACAAAATCTATCCACAATTATTATAAATCATACGCCCTATGGCCATATAAAATTAATATTAATCATACGCAAAATAAAATTGTCCCCGAACGCTAAATATCGACTTCTTAAGATGTAGTTATGGCTAGAAATTTTTGAAAAAATTCTAAAATATACCTCAGTGCTCATATTACAAAATGGCTACCCAAAATCAATATAAATCATACGCCCTATGGTCACAAAAATTAATATTAATCATACGCAAAATAAAATTTTCCGGGAAAGCTAAATATCGACTTCTTAAGAGGTAGTTATGGCAAGAAAATTTTGAAAAAAATCTACAATGAACCTCAGTGCTCATATTACAATATGGCGACCCAAAATCAATATAAATCATACGCCCTATGGTCATAAAAATTAATATTAATCATGCGCAAAATAAAATTTTCCGTGCGAGTTCAATATGGCTTTCTAAGTACTTATTAACAGCATAAATATTTCGCAAAAAATATCAGAAAGTTCTACAACATCCACATTACACAAAAGCTATCCACAAATAATAATAATCATAAGCCCTTTGGTAACAAAAATTAATATTAATCATACACAAAATAAAATTTTGCAGGAAAGTTAATATCGACTTCTTACGATGTAATTATGGCAAGAAAATTTTGAAAAAATTCAAAAATGTACCTCAGTGCTCATATTACAAAATGGCTATCCAAAATCAATATAAATCATACGCCCTATGGGCACAAAAATAAATATTAATTATGCGCAAAATAAAATATTTCGTACAATCCCAATTTAGAATTCTAGAAATGTATTTACAGCAAGAAAATATTGGAAAAATTACTAAACAGTCTCTCAATGTTCAGAGTACACAATTGCTACCCACAATAAATAAAAATCATACGCCCTATGGGCAAAAAAAAAATAATATTAATCATGCGCAAAATAAAATATTCAGCATAAGCCCAATATCGATTTTATAGAGATGATACAAAAATTTGAAAAATTTACTAGATTCTACCACATTTAATTATTCCCACAATTAATAGAAATCATACGGCCTGGGCTCACAAAAATTAATATTAATCACGCGCAAAAGAAATATTCTGCTTAAGCCCAATATCGTACCTCGACGCCTTACGTTGGCTTCAAAAAATATTTTTTAATGAATCCATGCCTTATGTAGGCCCTGAAAAATATTTTTTAATAAATTCACACCTTATGTAGGCCCTGAAAAATATTTTTTAATAAATCCACGCCTTATGTAGGCCCTGAAAAATATGTTTTAATAAATCCACGCCTTATGTAGGCCCTGAAAAATATGTTTTAATAAATCCACGCCTTATGTAGGCCCTGAAAAATATGTTTTAATAAATCCACGCCTTATGTAGGCCCTGAAAAATATTTTTTAATAAATCCACGCCTTATGTAGCACCTGAAAAATATTTTTTAATAAATCCACGCTTTAAGTAGGCCCTGAAAAATATTTTTTAACAAATCCATGCCTTATGTAGGCCCTGAAAAATATTTTTTAATAAATCCACGCCTTATGTAGGCCCTGAAAAATATTTTTAATAAATCCACGCCTTATGTAGGCCCTGAAAAATATTTTTTAATAAATCCACGCCTTATGTAGGCCCTGAAAAATATTTTTTAATAAATCCACGCCTTATGTAGGCCCTGAAAAATATTTTTTAATAAATGCATGCGTTATTTGGCCCATAGTGCGTATGACTTTTGACAATACTAATACGCCCCATATCATTTCAGTATAATATAAAGGATTTAATGTCAGTTATGGTAATTTTATTATTTATATTTCGAAATTATTTTAAAAATAAATCTTGTTGCTTTTCTTCCCTGCCCTTTCGCTCGGTGCTTTTCCTTTGCAATTTCCCCATACATGTCACTTTGTTACTGTCATGTTTTCTAATAACTCATAAATTATTATCATTGTCATTTACTACATGGAAACAGAACAATTTGTCAATTTGTAAATTTTTTAATAAAATGGAAAAAAATGATACAAAAGCGGAATGGAGGAAAAATAAGTATGTGACAGTTTATTTTCTTGTACATACACCCACACTGCCACAATGCCAATCTTGATAAATGATAATGGCTAAAAAGAATTGTAACCATTTGACATTATTGAAAAACAATAACATATGGTCGTCGGTGTTGTTGTAATTCTGTTTTTTTTTATTTTCAATTTTCCAAATCGTCGTATGAACATTTTATGTAAATTATTCCATCATGGTCATCAATCACTGCCATGATTGTAATCACTTAACACATACAGACATTCTGCGTTGTAATTTTCTAAGGAGGTAAATGCCAGCGAACACACACACACACACGGGAAAAATAACCCTACAATTACCTCACACTAAAAAGGAAATTTAAATAAAAAAGTTTTCTCTTTTATTGATTTTGATTTAAGAGGCACCCACCGTTCTGCTGTCTGTCTGCCGGCCTGACCAACAAAGACAAAAGCCAAGGTTTTGTTTTGGCATTCGGCCAACTCACGTAAGTTTTTGAAATAATCCCGCGGTAAATAAATGACAACGTCGTAATATCGGCTGGGCAGACATTACGTTGTGGTCACTAAAGCTGCTTAAAAAGTGAGAGATTTATTTGCTGTTGTTGTTGTCGTTGTTGTTAATCCCCTTACAGCAACGGGAAAAATACCTGTATATAATATAAACGTCAGACAATGACCTTTGGAAAACAAATATTTAAGAATGTCCCAACAGTGATAAGACATTACAAAGAAGAAGGAAAAAATACAAAATGCTAAAAGAAATATTAGCTAAGATAAAAAAAATTGTATGTAAATAAGTCTTACAAAAACAGAAATGAGAAAAAAATAAATACATTGGACATTGGGGCGTATAACTGATGACAGCACTCAATACGCATCATATAACACAATGAAAATCAATAGGTGGAGGCACTAGATTTTTAAAATAATATTTTTCATGACTACCAAAGACGTGAATTTATTAAAAAATATTTTTTGAAGCCAACATCAGGCGTGGATTTATTAAAAAAATATTTTTTGAAGCCAACATCAAGCGTGGATTTATTAAAAAATATTTTTTGAAGTCAAC